AAGTAAATCAGAGACATATTTATAGTAATTATGCAGGCAAATTTGCCTGCAAATCTCTACCAATTAAGGGATAGTTTGAAATACTAAAATAAATATATATTTTAATTAACAAATCATGAGGATAATATATATATTTTTTAATCAATTAAAGGTAAAACATTTCCTGTAAGCAAAAAAAAACTTCTACAAAAATTATTATCTTAATAAAGTTTCTCAGCAATGTCAGCTAATATTAATACATCTTCACCTTTTGGGTTGAAAAATTTTGCAAATTTTGGATCTCCTAATAATGCTTGAATTAGAATATTGTATTTTGTTTCTGTTGCATTGCAAAAATATTTTGCAATTAACTTGGCTTCGATCAATTCGCTTGGTATAATATTTGTAACCCAAAGAATGTGAAAAATTCTCCAACATCCAGTCTCAATTTTTTGTTTATGCGGCTTTTGATATCTCTGCCTTTCTAGTTATTCATTAATGATTTCCTTTAGTTTCATTTTCTTGTTCTTGTTTGCAATACTTTAACAAAAAGAAAAAGAACTGAGAAAATGAGTAAATAAGATTTAGTGCTTTGGTGTGCTGGTTATTGATCTCTTTCTCACATCAATCATAGTGCTGATTCCAAATTCGAAGGTAATTATGACAATCTTCAACATTTTGTAAATGTTTTGACAATGATTCTAATATATTCAAAACCTGGTCACATACCATCAGAATCAGAACTTGATTTAAATAGTTCCTTTTGTTTGTCTTTAACTTGCTCTCTACAATTGTAATAAATTTACGTTTTGATTTCTTTCATAAGATTTATTAATAATAAGATATATTTAATATTACTTTCAAACTAATTATAATTTAGGGGTTCAAAGTTCTCTATAAGAACAATTGGATATCAAGTGTTCTTTGCGAGATTTTAATAATAAAGGTTTGTGATTATTGGAGGTATTCAGGTATGAATATAATAAATTTCTAACCTCTTCAAAAATATTTTCATCTCCTTTTTCATTAATCTTGTCATAAATCTGCTGGCTCAATTCATCATATTCTTTGTAACTTTTATCATATTGCTAGGAATTATTATAGTTGGATCTCTTATCTTTAAATACTTCAAACAGATTTCCTATAAAATTGCTATAGTTTTATTTGCAATGTAATTACAAAACCAATTGTACCACCACTTTGTTCTTGGGTGAGAGTCAGGTTCTCTGTTTTCTAGTTTTTACATTGGATCACGAACTTGACATCACAGATCTTTTCACGAATGTCTACCCCTCCACCATCTCTTCCCTTATATAAACATTAATATGAGTGCATATGTCATTCACGTAAGTCTTTGTTTGAGTTCCAAGAGGGAGTACTTCTTGACCTAAATAACCTTGCACCATGATTCTTCAACAAAATTGCTATCAATACCGCGAAATAAAATAAAATAAAGAGGGGGTTTACGAATAGGCACAAATGTGTTTAATATAAATAATATCGATGACCTTACACGAGAAAAAATATTACTGAAAAACATGACTGCATGATTTCGTAGACCTAAATATTCATAATTTTAATATCTATGAATAATGTTAAGAAAAAAATAATTATTTAAACTCCTATGGCTATGAAAGGCCATAGGAGTTTAAATATTAGTGAAGATGTATACTATTTTATCCGGAAAACTTATAAATTTACGTATTTCGTTATTTGGCTACACGTGCTGCTTTGCGGCACACAGTAATGTTCTGTTGTAAAACATATAAGCTTAATTAGAATTCATTCAATTTCAATTCAGAAATTTTTATCTCAAAAATTTATGAAAACAATATCTTTTTTATTCTAAAAGTTGATTTAAATCATGAGATCACAGAGTCATACCTTTTTGCAATTACAGCTCCGGATTATAGAGAGATAGATTATAATACAATTATTAGTTCTAGTATTATAGTAAATATATTTTTATGTATTATCTGTACATATAATTTCGTTGAATTATTTCATGTTGTTTATAAATACAGATCTCATGATTTGAATTAACTTTTAGAATAAAAAAGATATTGTTCTCATAAAGTTTTGAGATAAAAATTTCTGAATTGAAATTGAATGAATTCTTTTTAAAATCAACTTAATACCTAATTAAGCTTATATGTTTTACAAATAGGAACCGACAGTTGATATAATCACTAAGTTATCACTAATAAAAAATAAATTCTTTCACTAACGCTACTTATTAATGTATTATAATATTAATTAATTTAATTTACTTTATCCTAAATAAATATATCGTTGGCACGTAAATTTTTTTTTTATTTCTTTTCGCAAAATATACGAGCTTTTTTTGAGAAATTAAATGCAATTAAACCGAGATATGAACCGGAAAATATATTTATGCAAATATGGTGATCCAGAAGGAAAGCTAAATGCTCATCTTCAAAAAGTAATTAAACAATTAAACTCTATGATCAAAGATTTAACGGACCAAATCAAAAGTCTACAACATGAAAATAGCTCACAAATACAAGATTTAAAAGTAATTATCCAAGCTCACCAATACAAGAGTTAAAAATAATTATTGAAGATAAAACTGTACATAACTTAAAAATTGGTTTGGCTAAAAGTGATTCTTATGGATTTAAAATTATAATTTTGGATAAGTAAAACTGTATAATATGATTTGTAAATTACTTAGCAACAGATAATTTATTCTTGAGTATATACATGTTACCTTAATTCATTCATTTATTGGTTGTATATATTTGATTAAATGTAAATTTTAATAGGTAAATTTATTTCGCAAGATATTTTAGAATTCCCAAAGCTTAAAATTTCGTATATAGTTTTTTGTTTTTCTTTTTAATAAACAAAGAATTTTAAATATGGTTTTTCTGATTATGTAAGAATGCTTATTTTAATATTATTTTTCTAAGGCTAAGATTTGTTGTTAACCATTCAGACAAAATTTTCTTTTTAAGCAAACAAGAAATTTCAAATATAACTTCCTATCTTTCTTTGAATACTTGTTATTTTTCTTATTCCCACCTGTTTTGATTTGTTCCAAGTTAAAATACTTCAGATTTGTTAAAACGATAAGAATCTACAAACATAAATCTTTCGTAATCACATAATGTTTAATTTATCAAAGAAAATTTAAAACAATACATAACGATAAGATAACGATAACGATAAACATAATAATAATTCTGTATCTTAATTTCGGTGACAAATAATATAAAATTCTTTTAATTTAATTGTCACTGAAAATAGAATTATTTATCACCAAAATTAGAATTTAAAGCATTGAAACTAAAAAATTTAGATATTGTACAAAATAATATATAGTTATTGAATGCGTAGCAGACAATAACGAGAATTATTTGTAAAATAATTTATTAGGTGTTATTGGCTAGCATAGCATACAATAACGGTTTTATCTGATGGCTTACGACGATTGTGCTTATAACTCGAGTTTTGGTAGTGATTATATAAACTGCCAAATAACGAAGTTATTTGGCAAATGACGTATCACTGCCAAATAAATTATAGTTATTTTGGCAGCACTATCATAGTAAGCTATCGGATAATGAAAAATATTTCAATGAAATTAATAATAATATGGGCTAGGTGCTGGAAAAAGGAACGAAATCGACAAAACAAAAGATCTTCAGAAAATCAATTTTTGTGTTATAAATCTTGTAATGGATTATAAGAAAATACAAACTTTAAAGAGCTATACTGCAAAATTTTATTAACACAACTACTTTTATGTTTTAAGTGAAAAAAAATTCTAATCTTATTCTAAATTAATTTATGTAAAAAAATTTAGTTTGAAAAAATTGACATTTTCATTCCTTTTTCCAGATATTCTTATTTTACAAAATGATATAAAATATGTCTTTAATGAATTTAACTAGACATACATTTTACTGAAACTCTTGTTAAACTTTCATTCTTTTAATAAATGTTAATTTGACAATGCAAGATATTTTATTTTTATTAGTGATTAGATTATTGTTTGCGAAAATAATATTAGGATAAATAAGACAATGTCTTTAAAATAACACTGTATTGCGTCGAAAGTGGATTTACGATGTTATTTCACTCATATTCTTTTTGATATTGGCATATCAGAAAATTTAGGCAAGCAGTTTTATCTTTAGTACGTAACACAAGTTTTATGGGAGGTTTTGATGCTTCAACTTTATAAAGGAACTTGACTCTAACTCTAATGCTTGGTTAATTGGTGATACTTTCTTAAAAAACGTGTATACTGTTTTTGATATCCAGAAAAAAGCTGTTGGCTTCGCGAAATAAGCCAGCACAATTTTTTATAATGTATTTTCCTTTTTTTATTATTTTTATTATATTATTTTTTTACTTTTTTATTATTTTTATTATATTATTTTTTACTTTTTTGTTTATTTTTGTAATTACAAAAAAATTTTATATTGATAATTGTTTAAAAAATATAATGATATAACCATCACATGATTAAATACGTACATATCTTGGTTAGATCATTTTTAAATACATACAGTACTGATTATCGAAATTCCCACCCCTAGTTGCATCTCTCGCATTTTTATATATTCACTTCCTGTTTCAGGTCTCAAAAATCTTGTTTTATATTACCCGAATTATATAAAGAAACATATATGTGAAATTTTTTCTCTATATGTAAATACTAACATTAAATACCTTATTATGAAAAGGATAAAACTTGGTCATCTTACTAAGAGAACTAAAATGAATGATAGGGTTGAGGATGGAGATTCAGAAGATATATATAACAAGTTTTTCAGAATTTACGATCCAAGAAAAGTTTTCACAGTTGAATTTTTTGCATGGCTCCTTGCTCAAGGAATAGAGTTGAACTTTAATGACCAAAGCACAAATAATTTCTTTCTCAGAGTTGACAAACTATGAAATGATGTATGCTGGATATCATATCAAAAGGAGTTTTACGAAACTCATAAGGTTATTTTTACTTTATATTTTAATATTTTATCATTATGATATCAATGATGAGTGAATATTAGATTAATCAAATCAACATTAGCAAAATGATTTACAAGCGGGAGCAAAGAACTTTTTTCTTGTGCTGAGCTGCCCCTACTTAATTTCATTTTTGTTGATAGCAAATATGCTGCCAAATTTACCTGCAGAATTCATTAAAACTAACGTTTACATGTAGGTGGGTTTGACTCGCTTTGTGATTTGATATATCTCTCTTTTGAAAAATTGTGTCTCTGAGAATATTTTATTTCTTTAATATAATTGTATTTTATACAAATAATTAATATTTTCTTCTATATTGAATTCAAGATGGATCAAAAAAGTGTTAGTGAATGCAAAGATTTTTAATTAAACTTCCAAAAAAGAAACAGCCAGTAAGTTCAAATTTTGATTTTTGGATTTAGTTATCAACATAATTTAGCATAAATTCTAATCATGCAAAAAATTCTATCAAAAATGTTATAGCTCAAAATTTTGTTTATAAACCAGTTTTTGATATTCTAAAAAAATTTTTTTTTACAAAATATTACTATATAAAATATCTATAGCATATAATAATAATTTTATATATAAATAAGAGTATTATATAATAGGGTGTTATAGTCTTACAAATACTCACTTATTTTCTTTTAATTCTATATTTTAGTGGTCAGCCCACTTTAGATTGGTATTTTTTGTAAAAATAAACTTTAAAAATTATAATTTGTATTATTGGAAATTTGTAGTTTAATTAGTTTAGAATCTTCTAAAAGATATTTATTTTTTAAAAAGAAATCAGGTTTGAAAAATTTTAAAGACTTAATTGTGTTTGCATTAGGAAGAGTCTGTGCAGAAGTTAAATTCATAATGAAAGTATATAAGTTTTGAAAAAATATGCTTAGCAACAGATAATTTATTCTTGAGTATATACGTGTTACCTTAATCTATTCATTTATTGTTTGTATATATTTGATTAAATAAAAATTTTATTAAAATTAATAAGTAAATTTATTTTAGAATTCCCAAAGCTTAAAATTTCATATTTAAGGTTGAAAATAATATTTATCATTTTGCTCAGATGGGATTTCGTGATATAGAATATACTCTTTATTTGATCTTTCAGTTTGTCTATTGTAATTTATTATTACTATAAATGTTAGAAAAATTGATAATGGCTGAACTCATAAATTCAATTGAATTTAAATTTATCAGTTGATAATTTTACGTATGTCTAAAACTAAATAAATTTGGCCAATCATCAGTAAGATGCAATTTACCAATCATGAAAAAGATCACGAATTATGTCATTTGTATTATGTTAGTAATCTTTCAATTTTAAATAATCATCGCAATTATTAATACACACTTAATATAAAGATTGAACTATTTTTTTTTAACACTACAGAGT